ATATTCGCTTCAAACACCTCGTTGTATGGATCAACAGTAATAAAATTAGGGACATAAGAAAATATAAGAGATTTGCCAGTGCATGATTTGGTTTCAATTTTTAATGACACATGTTTAAAAGCATTTCAAATCAATATATTATTATAAAAGAATCAATTTATTCTACCAATGTCAAAGTAGTTACAGAGAGTGAGATTAAGAATAAAGAAGGGTGTTTGAGGAAAGGCTATAGAGAAGGACGGGGATCAGGATCAAGGCATCAGAAATGACGATTGATATTACATTTAAATATTTGAAGATTATAGCTATCAGAGGAGCAATTAAGTGGAAGGTAGTTCCACTGTCGGGAAGTGCGACAGAAGAAGCTGTTGGAGTAGAAGAGGCGGTTATATTTATTTATATTTGGACAAAATTTATTTTTTCAAATGAGAAATCGCCCTAGTTGTAAATGTTTCCGTGTGGGTTTATTTTTTAAATCATGCTCTGAGCGGTGGTCGTTATATATAACGGTAATTTTGGCTTTTCGTTTGTGCGAAATACATAATACTTTAGATAATAACTTTTTTTTTTTATTCGAGAAAAATCAGAGACTGAGTCCAAAATAGAAATATATTTTACTCACCCAAAAAAGACGAAAATGAAAAACTGAATAGAATTATTTATCAGTATTTTTTTTTATTTAATGTAAAAAATCTATTTTATTGCCCAAATACAAAACTATTACATTTAATGACACGGCTGACAAGAAAGAAATGAACAACAAAATATTCAGGAAACAGAATTAATTTTAGGGCACATACATAATCAGTCACCACAAAAATCTTTGTTTTAAAAGAAAAATTAATAAATGTTTGCAAAGAATTAAATTGTTTTTTTAATAATATATATATATATATATATATATATATATATGAATGTGTGTGTGTGTATGTGTGTGTGTTTAGGTGTGTTGTGTCTAGGTGTGTGTGTGTAAAAATGTTTATATATATATATATATATATATATATATATATATATATATATATCAGGTCATCCCATAAGTTCTGTCCGAATTTTTTAACTTTTTTTAAAATGAACGAAATTTAAAGAGTATTTTATAATGTCTAATGGAGCTGAACATTTTTTTTTTATGTTTAGATGCATTTAAACTGATCAAATTTTATTTCAGAGAACAATAAAATTAAATTTTGTTTGATTAAAACCCTGCTAACATGGAAGTACCCAGGAATCATTTGAGGCACATAATGCTTTATGAGTTCAAGAAAGGAAACTCAGCAGCCGAAGCGGCTAGAAACATTCACTCAGTTTATGGAGAGGAATGTGTGAATGAAAGAACTTGCAGAAGATGGTTTGCAAAATTCAGAGGTGGAGATTTCGCCCTTGAAGATGAAGATCGAATCGGACGTCCAGTTGAGTTTGATGAAAAAGCTTCTTGAAGGAGTCCTTGAAGTAAATCCTGCTTTATCAGTTGAGGAATTGGCAGTGGTTCTCAGTTCAAACCATACAACTGTTCATCGTCATCTTCAACAACTTGGAAAAGTTCCGAAACTTGGAAAATGGGTGCCTCATGAATTGTCTGAAAACAATGTCAAATCCTGAGTTGACATCTGCTCTTCTCTTCATTTTCACCTTTTTTTGGGGGGTAGACTTGTGACTGGCGACGAAAAATGGATCTTTTATAGAAAAGTTAAGCGTCGTAGACAGTGGTTTTGTAAAGGGGAAGGACCCCAGACACAGCCGAGAAGGGAACTTCATGGGCAAAAGTTCTTCTTTCAATCTGATGGGATCTCCAACGAATAATCCACTTTGAATTCTTACCACTTAATTCAACAATTAATGCTCAAATATACTGTCAGCAATTAGAGCGTTTGAACCAAGCTTTCAGGAAAAAAGACCTTCTCTAGTGAATCGAAATGGGGTGATGTTTCATCAGGACAATGCGCCACCCTACACAGCAAGAATCACGTCACAAAAGATCGAAGAACTTGGTTGGGAGAAAATTTCTCATCCACATTATTTTCCCGAACGTGCTCCTTCAGACTATCATTTGTTTCGTAGCTTACAGAATCATTTGGAATAAACAGCTTTTGTAACCCAGGAAGAGGTTAAAACTGACAGTTGTGAGTTCTTCGAATCAAAGCCCAAAGAATTTTACAGTAATGGAATTATTAAGCATGTTAATAGATGGAAGGAAGTCATAGATAATCAGGGAAAATACATTTTTGATTGAATCTGTAATTAAATGTAACATTTGGTCACTTGTTTTCTTAATCCAAAATTCGGACAGATATATAAAAATAGATAGATAGATAGATTGATAATATTTATTCAAAATTATAACATATTCAAGTTATAACAAAAACTGCAAATTTGTTTAACCAGTACTGTTGTCATATCAGTTGATACTGTTGATTGTAAAATAAATGTTTTAACTCTTTGAGCCCTGACTACTGCATTGCTGGTAGTAGAGAAAAATGACGACCTGTTGACCAGTGATATAGAAAAATGATAATGACTAGGCAACGGTTGAATGGTGGGTATATATACCTATTTTTTATATTTACTGTGAAATATTTACCGATTTTTTATGAATTTTGCCTTAGGATCTCAGGCAAAAGGGTTAGGAATGCAGAGTTCAGAGGGTTAAACCCTTTATTTTATATTCAACCCCAATCGCTAGATAAGATACCAGTAGTTTTGAAGGAATGTGCAATTTTTGTAGCGTCCCGGGTATGACGAGAAATTACATCCTGGTCCTGAGTAAGACGATTAATTACGTCCAGCAGCAAGGCCTCTGATCAAGAGGTTTTGAGGAGCGTGGAGCCATCTCTTAATTGCTATAGGAAAATAGTTAACCCCGAAACCGGGGTCAAAACACTATGAAAGAGTAAAAACAGAAATACTTTGTAAACCATTATCAGCAATAAATTCTTGAAGAAAAAACTATTACCAGCAATATATTTTAAAAACAAAATATATATATTACCAACAATACGTTTTTGAAGAAGAAAATATTACCAGTAATACAGTTTTGAATGAAAAAATTATTACCAGAAATAGATTTTTGATAAAACAAAATTTTACCAGCAATAAAAAATTTGTCGGCATTTAATAACACATTGAGGTTTTTATGGAATAAAGCAAACCAAGTAAAATTTTTGTAGTGAAAAATAATATGCCTATGTTATAATTTTGCATCAATATATATATATATATATATATATATATATATATATATATATATATATATATATATATATATATATATATATATATATATATATATATATATATATATATATATATATATATATATATATATATATATATATATATATATATATATATATATATATATATATATATATATATATATATATATATATATATATATATATATCAACATTGCTAAAGCAGAAATATTTTCCTCCAGATGAATTGAATTTCGGTCGAAACTAGTCGAGGAATCTAAATGGAATAATAAACGAAAAAATATTAATCTACAAAAGTGGGTCTAAAGATTTTAATTTTTTTTTTTAATATATTTATTATTATTCAATATATATATATATATATATATATATATATATATATATATATATATTTCATTAAAAAGACACACAATTTACATCGTTTCAGTTATTTATTGATTTTATAATGATTTTTTTAACTGTTATCCATTGAACACCTCATGGTGGTGTAATGGTCAACGTGATTCTCTTACAAGAACAATTACTAGTGAGTTCAGTCCTTACTGATTTTCGTATTTTTTATGTATAAGAATTATATACATTTTAATAGAGATTAATACACTGCGTGCTAGATTATTATTATATTTCAAATAACGTCCAATCAATTCACAGAAAATTTTCACATAATTTTGGCACTACTGATCTGCGCAATCACTGAAATTTTTGTACTGATCTACGCAATGTAAAGAAACTGGCGCCATATTTGTTTTCAGCACGGTGATTTGAGCGTGCCAAATTATTAGAAAAGTGTAAGAATTTAGTGAATAGATGTGCCGTAAAAGCAGTTTAAGTGATGCTAAAAAGTAAACTATCACATTATAACTCTCAAAAGGTAAATCTACCCTAGGAATTTCTTAAATGATAGGGTAGTGTCATCAAACAGTGAACAGATCAGTCTTGCCAACATTGTGCGAAAATTTTGTGAATTGATTGGACTGTTTTTGAAGTATTAGAAAAAATTTATCTCGATAATAATTTGGCACGCAGTGTATATTTCAATTATTCGACATCGGTCGGCATTTGATTTTTTTTTCTTCGATGCCGCCAGACATTTTTTGGAAAAGCATTGTGCCAGGATGCAGACACTTCGAAATAATTTCATCCGCTTAGTTCATTAATTCTTTTACTTTCTTAAATTCTATATTTTCAGCTTCTTCTCCATGGATAGTTTTCCATGTTTTCGTCATTTTTTTTTATTTTCCATTCTAATATTGTTTCCTCTTCCGTCTGCCTTTCCTATTTGAACCATTTCCGTTGGTTTACACATCATTCTTTAAATTAATTCCAAGATGCTCTGATGTAAATCCTTTCTTCACCTAGGCACGTCTTTGTCACATTCGCCTCATATACCACATTTTATTCTATGTAATTACCATTTAAGGTGCGTTCTAATCAATAAGCATTTCTTTAGATTCTTATTTTTAGAATTATCTTTTGATTTCTGTATAAATATGTCGCCGTTCTTTCGTCCTCATCAAGCCAACTTCTCTTCTACCCTATATTTTAATTTAAATTAGAAGACAATGTCTAACATTGTGTTCGAAGAGTTTTTAAATTCTTGTTGCACTTGGAAATGGATAATATGAGAAAGCAAGTATGCATCCTCGTAGCACCAACCAACAAATATATATAAAAATGATAAAAAATTATTCATTCTATATTTGTGTTCCTATTTGGTCTATTCGTCTACGTCAGTCGAAGGAGTAGGAATTGATAAATTGCAAGTTTTACCCGAGGGGCTGATTTTGGATGCTATCCGTCGTTAGGATCACTTGCGAAGTGTTCATCTGTAGAGGCAAGGATAGACTATTTCTCTCTATCTCTCTCGATCGTTCGACTCTCTCTCTCTCTCTCTCTCTCTCTCTCTCCACTCTAACAGACTCTTCTATAGATCGATTGACTCAACCCCGATCAACACTTGAACAATCGAATCTCAATCGACCGGCTGTCAATCGACTCTTACATAATCGACTCTCATTCGATCAAGTCTTTCTTTCAATTCACTAACTATCGATCGACTCTCATTCGATCGACTCTCGCTCAACTGAATCTCTCCCTATCGAGTATCCATCGATCTACCCTCATTCGATCGACTCTTCATCCATTGACTCTCAACCGATCGATTCTATATCGATCAAATATTCTTCGATCGTCTCCCTCGCACTCTCGATCGACTATCCATCGATCGACCCTCCTTCGATCGACTCTATCTCGATTGACTCTCAATCGATTGATTCTTTATCAATCAACTCTCTTTCAATTAACTCTCCTTAGATCGATTCTCTCTCGACCGACTATGCATCGATCGAACATCCTTAAATCGAATCTCTCTTAATAGACTCTATATCGATCGATTGTCTTTCGACTATCGATTCCCTCTCAATCGACAATATCTCAAGTGACTCTCACTTGTTTGACACTCTGTTCTTAATGTTTCTTGAAATTTATTTGAAAAAAATATATGTGAAGCGATAAATTTACATGCAACTTTGATCTACCAACCAATGCTGAACCAGATTTTCATGGTTAGCTAATCAGCTTTGTAAAAGATTGACCAAAAATAACTAGACTGAACTGCTAAATAGTTGCCACTTAGAAAAATTAAGCTTTGGTTACATCGCCCCCACCAAAATATCTCTGTAATGTTTATAAATTAATGTTCGACCTCGATTCAATACAGTGGCTGTCTTGATTGAACATTCATAATCGCAAATCTTCCGATTAGATTCACCTGCATTGACCCAGTTCTATTTAATATTTATTTATTTATTTTAAACATTTCACCCCAAGAAAAGCGGAAGTACCACTAGCAAGCAAGGGGTTATTTTTTATTGTGAGCAAGAGTAAAAGGGGGGGGTGAGGAACGTATATAGAGAGGGACTGATATCAGAATCAAGGCGTCAGAAGATGTCGATTGACATTAAATTTAAATATTTGAAGATTGCAGCTAACAGGGAAGAAAGTAAAAGGAAGGTTGATCCACTGTCGAGTAGCGCGAGATAAGCTGTTAGAGTTTTAGAGGCGGTGGCATTTAACTGTTTCGACAGTGAAAGGATGAGACAGTGATGCCAGTCTAATATCACGCTTAAATTCATGCAGTTGGCATACCAGTGAAAGTAGATCGTCTGAGCAGTTGTTATGACAATATTTGTAGAAAAGACAAAGGGAAGCTACTGCACGTCTGTGAGAAAGTGACTGTAGTCGAGATACCAGATCAGGACCTATCACATTGCATATTCGTCTCAGGATGTTGTCAAGAACCTCAAGATGAACAGCGTGGGCACCAGACCATATATGACAACAATATTCAATGCATGGACGAATGGTAGCTTTGCAAATTTTAAGGATGTTCTCTGCAAAAATATGATGCTTTATAAAAGTCCTCTTTTATCAAATAATCAATTATAAACGAGGCTCATCATAATCTCTGTCGTCAATTTATAAGTTTAGTTATGAATTTTGAAAGGGACAATGATCATTTCAAGCGTTCATCTGCAAGAAAAAGGGGGGACACAAAAACAAGGTCTTCGTAATACCAAAACTCTAGCAATGGACACCACCATACCATGAATAATGATTTGTTTTTGTTTACTCATTGGAAAATGTCAGCTTTGAACATAATTTCCCTGTGTGAAATAACTAAATACAAAATACTTCTAATACGTCACTCTATAGATTTGTTATAATGAATTAGCTATCACAGTAGAGGAAAATGAATATAGAATAGCCATCACTAGAGACAGCATTGCACAGTACCGCTAGTTTCTGTAAAACCTAAAGCTATTTAAGTAGCCTTAACAGGTCGGGACTTTCATAATGATCCCAAGCAGGGAGTCAAACTCTTAAAGAAATAGCTAAACTGTCAGATGAATACAGCCGCATTCTGAGATCAGTACTAATGAAGCCTGTAGATCTTAGCGAGGAACGTTTGGCGCTAAAGAATCTCAAAGAAAGATGTAAAAAATAACAGAATGAGGTTGTAGACAACTTCACGCAAAATATGCGGAACGAAGACTCTCCACGAAATAGTAGGATGAGCTATAACAGCTACTGGACTTTAGAAATTTGTTTTATGGAAAAATTGTTTCAATCGAAATATTTTATCAATTTCTAACGGAAATATTAATCGCTGCTCGGTTAATATGCAATGTTTCCTTATAAGGAAACGGCTAAAATTAAATTCAACATTACAATTAACATTCTCGGACAAGAGTAAAAATACGGGATGCGATGGGTAAATAGACGCCATTTTATATTTTTCCCTACGAGCATGCTCGTTGTTTCTTTCTAATTTTGTCGACTGCGCTGTATAGTAAGGTCAGTTGGGCACTGTCTTGGAAAAAAAGAGAACCATGACGTAGTTCAATACGCCAGGAATTTGGAAATGGCATGAAGGTTCTGCTTGGCATTCGAGCCAGAATTTCCAATACGAACATTTCAGAGTGCTTGGCGTTCAATCTGAGGACAGTGCAGAGGATTCGGAAAGAGTTGGGTGAGTTTAATGGTGATTACAAAGGTACGGCACCAGGGAAAACTCACTCCTATAGTTCTGATAAGAAAAGCACTCCCAAACATGTTTGTGTAAGCCTCAGACTCAATTCGGCGACATACAGTAACAGCTTTGAGGAGGTAGTGCTGCCCTGGGTCAAGAGGGTGGCTGTTGGAAGACATTGTATCCGTCAACGGGGCCCTGCATCATGCTACACATGTAGTAGAACCCAATCATGTCTTTCAGATAATTTCTTCGACCACATGGCGACTTACATCTGGCCAACTAACTCCTCATACTCAAACCCTATTGATTATTTTGTGTGGGCTGGAGGTAAGCGAGAGACATAACTCCTTGTAACACCAAAGATGACTTGTGGCAAGGATTATGGAAGCATTCGCCAACTTAAACAAGGAGACCGTTCAGAATAGTTGCAGGAAATTACAAAGTCGTCTGGTGGCTATGGTTGAAGCTAATGATGATTTTATTGAATAAATTTACTGTTTAATATCTCAAGATATTTTTGTGTAATTTTGGTAAATATATCTGTTAAAATGAGATGTTAGCGTTATTTTTATCTTTTCGTAAATCGGAGGACACTTTGTCCATCGCACACTGTATACCAGTGTTGCAGGCCCGGTAGCATACAGTGCTGGTTTATTTAAAGGTGGCCTTGTGCAAGACACTACTTATGACTACCTAATCCACAAACAAAGTAAAAATATTAAATGAGTGATCTTTAGTGTCATTCAACAAGTGCATAGAAATAATACAAGTAGATAGACAGGAGGAAATGACAAAACGAATCTGGTTCAAAACATATATGAAATTTTATTTTAATAATAAATAATCTTGTCTCAACAGTGGAGACTATCAGAAAAGGTAAGGTCTGTTTTTAGCCTGTAGGCAGATTGTAATAAGTAGTAATTTGTAGAATTATAAAGTTCCGCGCCAAAACGAAAAACCAAGATGGTAAGACGGGAAAGGTTTCTTCAGAATGAAAGTTCTGGAATATTGTCTTTTTTGTACGAAAGGTGCATGCGTACACAAATAGGAAAAGTACTCACTGCGAGGTTTAATAATGTGTGTGTAATGTTATCTTTTTTGAAACTGGTTCGTAAAAGTTAGAAGTTTCAAAGGCTTATGAAAAGTTTATCAATTTTCATTGAGGAAAATTCTGAGTTGTTCACATCAAGACGAGGAATTTAGTCTTGGAAAGGTGTGAGAGCGACCGTGTCGTAGAACTCTGGTAGTGAATAGAGGTAAGTTCGAAAGTTGTTCGCATCAAGACGAGGAATTTAGTCTTGGAAAGGTGTGAGGGCGACCGTGTCGTGGAACTCTGGTAGTGAATAGAGGTAAGTTCGAAAGTTGTTCGCATCAAGACGAGGAATTTAGTCTTGGAAAGGTGTGAGAGCGACCGTGTCGTAGAACTCTGGTAGTGAATAGAGGAAAGTTCGAAAGTTGTTCACATCAAGACGAGGAATTTAGTCTTGGAAAGGTGTGAGAGCGACCGTGTCGTAGAACTCTGGTAGTGAATAGAGGTAAGTTCGAAAGTTGTTCGCATCAAGACGAGGAATTTAGTCTTGGAAAGGTGTGAGGGCGACCGTGTCGTGGAACTCTGGTAGTGAATAGAGGTAAGTTCGAAAGTTGTTCGCATCAAGACGAGGAATTTAGTCTTGAAAGGTGTGAGAGCGACCGTGTCGTAGAACTCTGGTAGTGAATAGAGGTAAGTTCGAAAGTTGTTCTCATCAAGACGAGGAATTTAGTCTTGGAAAGGTGTGAGGGCGACCGTGTCGTGGAACTCTGGTAGTGAATAGAGGTAAGTTGAAAGTTGTTCGCATCAAGACGAGGAATTTAGTCTTGGAAAGGTGTGAGAGCGACCGTGTCGTAGAACTCTGGTAGTGAATAGAGGTAAGTTCGAAAGTTGTTCGCATCAAGACGAGGAATTTAGTCTTGGAAAGGTGTGAGAGCGACCGTGTCGTAGAACTCTGGTAGTGAATAGAGGTAAGTTCGAAAGTTGTTCGCATCAAGACGAGGAATTTAGTCTTGGAAAGGTGTGAGGGCGACCGTGTCGTGGAACTCTGCTAGTGAATAGAGGTAAGTTCGAAAGTTGTTCGCATCAAGACGAGGAATTTAGTCTTGGAAAGGTGTGAGAGCGACCGTGTCGTAGAACTCTAGTAGTGAATAGAGGTAAGTTCGAAAGTTGTTCTCATCAAGACGAGGAATTTAGTCTTGGAAAGGTGTGAGGGCGACCGTGTCGTGGAACTCTGGTAGTGAATAGAGGTAAGTTCGAAAGTTGTTCGCATCAAGACGAGGAATTTAGTCTTGGAAAGGTGTGAGGAGCGACCGTGTCGTAGAACTCTGGTAGTGAATAGAGGTAAGTTCGAAAGTTGTTCGCATCAAGACGAGGAATTTAGTCTTGGAAAGGTGTGAGAGCGACCGTGTCGTAGAACTCTGGTAGTTAATAGAGGTAAGTTCGAAAGTTGTTCGCATCAAGACGAGGAATTTAGTCTTGGAAAGGTGTGAGGGCGACCGTGTCGTGGAACTCTGGTAGTGAATAGAGGTAAGTTCGAAAGTTGTTCGCATCAAGACGAGGAATTTAGTCTTGGAAAGGTGTGAGGGCGACCGTGTCGTAGAACTCTGGTAGTGAATAGAGGTAAGTTCGAAAGTTGTTCGCATCAAGACGAGGAATTTAGTCTTGGAAAGGTGTGAGGGCGACCGTGTCGTGGAACTCTGGTAGTGAATAGAGGTAAGTTCGAAAGTTGTTCGCATCAAGACGAGGAATTTAGTCTTGGAAAGGTGTGAGGGCGACCGTGTCGTGGAACTCTGGTAGTGAATAGAGGTAA